GTTGTTGTGCCAGGATGGTATTTCCAACTTTTTTTTTTTAAGTAATCTCTACACCCAACGTGGATCTCTAACTCATGATTCCCAGATCAAGTGTCGCATGCTCTACCGACTGAGCCAGCCAGGTACCCCCAGGGTGGTTTTTCTAAAATGAGTATCTGACCATGTTTCTCTCCTGTTTCCTTCGTATGTGTCTCCCCATTACTGGCCTGTCCTGCAGAAGAACATGTCTTCCTTAACTTGGCCAACAAGGCCACTGTCATCTAGGGCTCACTTCTCTGGGCTTGTCTCTCATGCTTCCTTTCTAGCTGCAGGAACCCTGAAGTCTTCAAACTTCCCCAAACCCATCTCCTGCTTCTGCCTTTTTTCATGCTGACTCCACCGTCTGGAATGTTTTCTTCATGTAGCAATCCTAACCCAACCCCCATCCTGCAGAACTACCTCACAGGCCAATTCCTAGTCATTCTTTAAGATTCAGCCCAGTGTTACCTCCTCCAGGACACCTGCCTAACTGCTCGATCCCTGGTTAGGAGTCCCATCCTTTTGACTTCCAGAAGACTTTCTTTATCTCTCCATAATTTCATCTATTACATGATAAACTGTTTTATAAATGTCCTCGTAACCTCCTTGGGGATTCACTGTTGTATCTTCGGTGGTTAGCACAAATGATTAAATTTGAACCCAAAACTGCTCTGAGTTCACGTGTATATAACCTCACTGAATCCTCACTATATCCTATGCAGTAGATACCAACAGTATCTCCATTTTAAAGAGGAAGAAACCGGTATTGGGGAAGTTAAAGTAATTTGCTCAAGGTCACACGCATAGTGGCCTTCAGGTATTCACACCAGTTAGCCTGGCTCCACATTTGACATCCTTCATCACTATATTACATTGCCTTTCTATAGAATGGACACCTAGTGGGCACCTGGGTGGCTCAGTTGGTTAAGCGACTGCCTTCGGCTCAGGTCATGATCCTGGAGTCCCGGGATCGAGTCCCGCATCGGGCTCCCTGCTCGGCGGGCAGTCTGCTTCTCCTTCTGACCCTCTTCCCTCTCGTGCTATCTCTCTCTCTCTCATTCTCGCTCTCTCAAGTAAATGAATAAAATCTTAAAAAAAAAGAATGGACACCTAGTAAATGTTAACAGTAATAGTTATTTTTTTAAAGATTTTATTTATTTATTTTGAGAGAGCGAGAATGAGAGAGAGAGAGCACATGAGAGGGGGAAGCGTCAGAGGGAGAAGCAGACTCCCTGCTGAACAGGGAGCCCGATGTAGGACTTGATCCCGGGACTCCAGGATCATGACCTGAGCCGAAGGCAGTCGCTTAACCGACTGAGCCACCCAGGCACCCATAGTTATGCTTAGTGATTGTATAATAGGTACCAGACTCTATGCTAAGTGCTTTACCTAGATTATTTCAATTCCACAACAATCCTATGAGGGAAGTACCATCATTATTCCCATTTTACATAAGAGAAAATGGGTTTGGGGCTCCTGAGTGGCTCCGTGGGTTGAGCATCTGACTCTTGATTTTGGCTTAAGTCATCATCTCAGAGTCCCTAGGATGGAGCCCCCAGTCCGGGGACGGTGTCGGTGCTCAGCAGGGAGTCTGCTTAAGGTTCTCTCCCTCACCCTCTGCCCCTCTTCCCGTCTCTCTCTAAAATAAATAAATAACTCGTAAAAAAAAAAGAGAGAAAGCAGGTTTAGAGAAGTTTGTCGAACCCTCCCCCAAGGTCATAGAGCTTAACTCACAACCAGAGTCTTAACCACTGTACTCTACCATATGAGATCAACGGCTCAGGAATGGACTGACATCCAGGATGAAGACTAGCACAGCATGGAGCCTCAGGACATCTACCTCTGAAAACAGAGTTCAGAACCTCAGGCATACAACAGACCAACTCGCAAGTGGGGCAGAAAGAGACCAGTCCAGAAACAGTCACCCAGAATCAAAGGGACATAGAGATAGATTTCAGCACAGTGGAAGCCCCTCCTTGACCCCATGCCCTTCGTCTAGGAGCTCACGGTTGCCCAAGCGGCTCAAAGGTCTTGACGTTGGAGAACACACTTCCTGGGATCCCAAAGAGGTGATACTATCAAAGAGTTCATTCTGAGCCTCAACAGCCCGGTGCAGACTCCGTGGCGGTCAAGAAGGGTTAACCAGCCGGGAGGGCCTCCCTAGCGGGGCTGGGGCCTCAGGGCGGGGGCCACAGGTTAACCGTCCCGGAATGGGGTCTAGGGGGGCCGGTCTTCGGGGCGGGGCGTGCCCTCCACAGCAGCGATCCGACTGGGGTGTTAACCGCCCGCGAGGAGCCCCAGGGGCGGTGGCCACGGGGCGGGGCGCGACCTGGGGCGGCGACGAGAGGGTTAACCGCCCCGGTGGGCCCCCGTTGGGGCGGGGCGAGACCGGGGGAGGTGCTGGAGGCGGAAGCTGCCGGCAGTCTGCGCCCAGCGCGGCTCGGCTACCTTCGGCTGAGCTCCTGCTGAGGGCCGGTGACCTCCGGGTCTGGGAAGCCAAGCGAGGTTCGGGAGCGGTGACGGGGCACGGGGTGGGGAAAGGGGATGGCCCTGGAGAGGTCCAAAGGGGGCGAACTCGTGAGAGTCTCGGGAGACCGGGACAGATGGTTGAGGGCAAGGTGATGGGCCTAAGAGCTTTCGGGGAGCCAAGAGGGAGGGGAGGGGAGAAGTGGTGGGCAAACATGCGTGAAAGGATGGGGGCGCCTGGGCGAGGAGCCCCCGCCAGGATCCCGCACTTGAAACCCTTTTTTCTCCCAACTCCTCTCTAGGTCAATCCCGAGGCGGAGCTCAACTTTGAGAAGAGAGGCGCCCCAGCAAGACTCGGGGATTCCTCCGGCTCCTCACCTCCATGGGCCAGACGGCCCTGGCAGGGGGCAGCAGCAGCACCCCCACCCCACAGACCCTGTACCCTGACCTCTCTTGTCCCGAGGGCTTGGAGGAGCTACTGTCTGCTCCCCGTCCTGATGTGGGAGCCCAACAGCGGCACGGCTGGAACCCCAAGGACTGCTCAGAGAACATCGAGGTCAAGGAAGGGGGGTTATGCTTTGAGCGGCGGCCCGTGGCCCAGAGCACTGACGGGGCCCGGGGTAAGAAAGGCTACTCGAGGGGCCTGCACGCCTGGGAGATCAGCTGGCCCCGGGAACAGAGGGGTACCCACGCCGTGGTGGGCGTGGCCACGGCCCTCGCCCCGCTGCAGGCTGACCACTATGCGGCGCTGCTGGGCAGCAACAGCGAGTCGTGGGGCTGGGACATTGGGCGGGGGAAGCTGTATCATCAGAGCAAGGGGCCCGGGGCCCCCCAGTATCCAGCCAGACCTCATGGTGAGCAGCTGGAGGTGCCGGAGAGGCTGCTGGTGGTTCTGGACATGGAGGAGGGAACTCTGGGCTACGCTATTGGGGGCACCTACCTGGGGCCTGCCTTCCGCGGACTGAAGGGCAGGACCCTGTATCCGGCAGTAAGCGCTGTCTGGGGCCAGTGCCAGGTCCGCATCAGCTACCTGGGCGGAAGGAGAGGTGAGCCGTGGGGCAGGTGTGGGGAGAGTGTTCTGTTACTGGTGGCTGTGGTTTGGGATGGAAGCTCGCTCGACACCTTGTAAAGAGCAGAGAGAATGGGCCTTCAGCTCACCTGCCTCCTACTTCTATTCAGTGCGGGGGAACGGCGAAAGGGCTTCACAGCTGTTACTTAACTATCTTCCCAGCAGCAGTAGCGATGAAAGTGAGGCCCGGAAAAGCCATCTGCTACTTAGAGGGAGGCACTCCAGGGATGAGGGCTTTTACAGCAGGTATCAGCTCCTGGAGCAAGAGGTGCACAGGGTTAAACGGGTACTGGGCAAGGTGTAGGCAGAGGATGGGCAGTGCCAAGCACCCAGGGTGTGGACCAGATCCCCTGGGCTCTGACCTGTCTGTGCTACTTCCGTCCTCAGACCCCAGGAAGGGGCCTTTGAAGCCCTGGGCATCTGGAAGGAGAGCAGGCAAGGAGGCAGGGCCTTCAGCTGGGGCCTCCTCTAAAAAGGATGGGGCCAGGGCTTGGGACTGATGGAACTTCACTGCGCCCTGCAGTTGCAGTCTTCAGCAGAGGGTGGATACCTCTCCTCCCCTCCGTGGTGAGCTATTCTAGAGTGAAGGAGCACCATCATTCCTTTCACCTCATCAGCCCCCAGCTCCAAGGCTCTGTGGAATCAAAGCCTGGACTAGCTTCACCACAGTCCAAGCTTCCTTGGCCTGTTGCTTAGTGGGGAGCCTTAGCTAGAGCTTCACCCCCAGCGGACTGGGGATGTGTGAAATCTGTGCTGCCTCCCACTGCAAGAACAGGTGCAGAACTTCAGGGTGCCTTAGATCTCCCTCTCAACCAAGACTCAGAGCAGGAAAGCAGAAGGGAACTTGGGCAGGACCCTGTGGTTTGAGGTCTGACTGGTGGCTGCATTCCAACTCATCTTCCCCTCCCTTCTCTCCCCCAGCGGAGCCACACTCCCTTCTGCACCTGAGCCGCCTGTGTGTGCGCCACGCCCTGGGGGATACCCGGCTTGGCCAGGTATCTGCTCTTCCCTTGCCCCCCGCCATGAAGCGCTACCTGCTCTACCAGTGAGTCCTGTGAACACAGATTGTGCTGGGGCCTCAAGGCTGCCCCTCCCCTGGGGGGCGGGGAGGAGGCACTGCTGGCCTAGACCAGCTGCTTAAAGCCAGTGAGGCAAGGGGGAGGTGAGGCTGGGCCCCTACCCCAACCCAGGCTCTGAGGATCCAAGAGCCCCAGAGCCACCCAGAGCCACCCAGAGCCGGGGGGGGGAGGGGGGAGGACAGAAGGGAGCCACTGTTGGAGACTATGGCCGCCTGGTACGCAAGACATTTTTTCAAGTAAAAACAGTAAGAGATGTGCTATTGTAGAAACCTGTTTGTGGTGTTTCTCTGTGCAAGTGTCCTGGGGCTGCCTCAAAAAGGAAAAAGAGGGTATAGGCAAGTACAGTGAAGAAGGACACGCCACAAGGCTCAGTGCCAGGTGTTTATTTCCCCCCGCACGCGGGATTGCTCACACACACAACACACATGGGCGTTGGCACCATGGGAGAGAGAGCAGCCCCTCTGGCCTCTGAGGGGAGGACAGGGCTTTCTCTCAGCCCCCAGCCTCAGGGAGTGAGATGGGAGAGGAGGATGGCTTCTCTCTCCTGCCCTCACTGGGGACGCTGAGGGGGCCCACGAGCAAATTCCACCCCTTCTGCCTCTCAGCCACGGAGAAGCCACCTCGGTGACGTTTCGTTCCGACCATTACAGTTCTGTGGAGAAGGGATGGGCCTGGTCCCAGCCATTACGGGGCAAGGTGTAAACAGTGAGGAAGACGTATACTCTGGCCACAAAGGGGGCAGGTGACACCATCAGAAGCATGTGCGGGGTGGGGGGTGGGGGGGAGCACAGTTACTGAGCTCCTGAGCTACCTAGTCCCTGGCTTAGGAAGAAAAGGAGAGATGGACGGGCTTATTGTTTGGCATTGATGATATCCACAAACTCGGGCTTGAGAGAAGCCCCACCCACAAGGAAGCCATCCACATCAGGCTGGCTTGCCAGCTCTTTGCAGGTTGCTCCAGTCACAGAACCTGGTAAGGGAGAAGACAGAGAAAATCGGCAGGGATGGGACAGGAGGGCCGAGTCCACCCCTATCTCAGGCGGGAGCCAAACCCACTTACCTCCATAAATGATACGGGTGCTCTGAGCCACCGCGTCAGAGACGTTGGATTTAAGCCATCCCCGGAGCTTTTCGTGTACTTCCTGGGCCTAGAACAAGAAGCCAGATGAAGTAAGCCTTTTCCTGCCTCTCTCACTCAAAGGCTAAAAGGCGCTGGGCCCCAGTGAAGAGAGGCAGTGTGGTTTTGGGGCAAGAACCCTGAGATCTGAGTCAGAATACCATAGCCCCAGTCCCATCCAGACCCTGGAATGGATGTCCTTGGACAAGTCACTCTCCTTCTCTGGGACTGGGCGTTCTGGTCTATATTATTATTATTTTTAGATATTTTATTTTTTATTTTAAAGTAATCTCTACACCCAACATGGGGCTCGGACTCCCGACCCCAAGATCAAGAGTCACATGCTCTACCTACTGAGCCAGACAGGTGCCTTGGGGGCTCCTGTCTTTAAAGTTAGGGGTTGGCTCAGATGATCTCTGTTGCAGTCCAGTCCTACCGAGGCAGGTAGGGGAGAGGCAGAGCTCCTGGGCTCAGTTACCTGTTGGGGTGTTGCAGTCTTGCCGGTCCCAATGGCCCATACAGGCTCATAGGCCAGGACAACCTTGCTCCAGTCCTTCACGTTATCTGTGGGACAGATCACAGAAGAAGGGTGAACAGGAAGGAGCTCTCCAGCCCGTTGCCCAGGGAATGATGATGGTGGCCTGATGCCCCCTGGTGGCTGTGGGAGGAACTCCAAGCGGCATCTATAGCATCTGGGCAGGAACAGAAGTGATATGAAGGATGCAAGGGTCCTCCCCTTCCCCTTCCTTTCCTGTATCAGCACAGGATGGGGCATCTGACCCCACCCTCTGTGCCCCCGTAGCCCTGGCCAGGCTCAAAGGTCCCCTTCTCCAGAGTTACCTGCGATGACCTTGGTTTGCTCGAAAACAACCTTCTCAGTGATGCCAGCTTCCCTCTCATCTAGCTTCTCCCCAATGCAGGCGATTACTCCAAGCCCCTCTGCCAGGGCATGGGCCACTTTCTGTCCAATCAGCTGTGGAGGAACAGATTTGGTGAGCCACCCCTCTTGGAGTAAGGCAGCATTTACCTCCCCTCCTGGTTACTAACCTCATCTGACTCTCCAAAGACATGCCTTCTTTCCGAGTGCCCCAGGACTACCCATGTGGCTCCACAGTCTTTGATCATGCCAGGGCTAAAGGAAGAGAGAAAGCCAGGCTTCAGCAGAGAGCCCACCCTGTGGCTTTCCCTTCAATGAGGGAAGTGAGGGCAGGGTCCCCAGGCGCGCCCCTCCTGCCTGCATCTCACCTGATCTCCCCAGTAAAGGCCCCATTCGTCACTTTGTAGCAGTTCTGAGCGGCCACAGCAATCTTGGCATCCAGCTTCTGCCGGGCAAAGTCGATGTAGGCGGTAGGGGGTGCACAAACCACTTCTGGAGAGGAGACATGATGGCGCAAGGGCATGGGGTCACAAGGAAGCCATTCTCCAGACTCCCTCCAGTGTTCTGGGGTCCCCTCACCTTCACCTGATTTCTCAGTTCTGCCTTCCACCCCTTTTCACTCCAGCAAGATCATCTTTGTCCACTTCCCAGCCCAGGCTGGGCCTGTACCCAACTCCTTGAGCCTTCCAGGTGTCCCTGGGAGGCCATGGCCCTCGCCCTGCCCTCTGCTCTTTAACAGCTGTGGTTCTGATTTCCCCAGGCTATTCTGGGCCTGGGCACCTCCTAGACTCAGCATTCTCTTGGAGCCAACACCTCCCTTCTAAAATAGCCCATTCCTACCACCCCCAGGCAAGGATTTTTAGCAAAAGCAGAAAGAGCCAACTCCTGGGGTTTGTATTGGGGTCTCTGGGGGAATAAACCAGGGCCTCTTTGGATCAGGCCGGTGTTTCTGTGATTTAGGTGGGTGGGAGGATTAAGGGCCGAGGACAGCACTCTTTGCCTGTGGGTGGCAGGGAGCTGACTAGCTCAAGGAGGCCTTGCGCTTTCCCGTTTCCAGCCTGCAGAAGGCTGTAGGATCGCTCCTCACTCCCCAATAGACCATCTTGTTTGACACCTGCTCAGCCCCTTCGTCGGAAGGCAGGCGCCATCTGGGCCGGCGAGGGTGAAGGATAGAGCCGGGGAGCTCAGGAGGCCACTGCCGCCCGGCTCGGGCAGTCGGCCCGCCCAGCGAGGCGCGGGGAGGAGTCGCGGGCTACGTGCGGCAGCGCACGGAGCAGACGGCCGAGGGGGCAGGTGGCTGGATCCCCGCACGCAGGCTCAGCCTCCTCCCCCACACGCCGGGGCTGTCGCCAGCCTCCAGGGATCGTCCGCAGGGGCTCCGCTCCCATGCCCGGCTCCTGTCGGGTGCGGCCCCGGTCCATGCCCCGGGGCCATCTTCGCCCACGGTGACCGAAGAAATCCTCTCCCGCCTCACGGCCGGAGAGCACCATTACATGCGGCCCCGCCTTCCCCCCCACCTCAACACACCCCCGGTATTGCGGCTGCGAGGCCCCGGCGCGGCGGGGTCAAAGTCCCGAACCCCAGCAGCCCTCGTGCCCAGCCCTGCATCCAGGTCCGCGCGGACACCCGCTCGGGAGAGGGCGCCGCCACGCCCGACCTCCCCCCACCCCCGGCCGCGGCCCCGGCCCCGGCCCCGCGAGGGCTTACCGGTGTCCGCCGGCACCTTGGCCGCGTTCAGAGTGGTGATGAGTTCCCCCAGGTTCTTCTTCCGCCCGTTCATCTTCCAGTTCCCCCCGACGAAGAACTTCCTGGAGGGCGCCATGGCGTTGGAGCCGACACACTGAAGGTCAGATGCACCGCGCAGCCGCTGCCACTGGCCGCTTATGTAGAGTGCGGTGAGGCGGAACTCCGCCTCCTCCCCGCCCTCGGCCGTGGTTAGGCCGGCCCCGCGCCTGGAAGCGCCGCCCGCCGCCCGCCG